GTGTGTTGGCTTATTCCTGTAATCCCATCTGAGAAGATGAGGCAGGAGGATAAAAAATGTAAGCCTGGCCTGGGCAACTTAGAGACTTAACAAGACCCTGACTCAAGAAAGTGTTGGGTGTGAAACTATACTCAGTGTGAAGGCCCTGGGTTAGTGCCCAGTGAGACCCCCCCTTCCTCCCTCTCTCTGTTCTCAAGTTGTATTAGTCAACTTTACTATTGATGGGACAAAATACCTGACACCTGCACTTTAAAGGAGAGGTTTACTTGGGCTCTCAGTTTCAGAGGATTCTTTCCAAGGTTAGCAGGGACCAAGGCAGAAACAGGGCCTGGTGGAGTAAATTTGCTGAAGCCACTGCAGGCAGGAAGCAGTTTAGGGAGGATCTAGGGGCAAATATATATCCTCCAAGTCACGTCCCTGGTACTCACTTCTCCCAGTGATCAGGACCTACCTTCTGACTGTACATTCTGCATTCCTGTGATTCAATCACCTTTCAAAAGTCCCACCTCTGCATAAACTTTGGGGGACATTTTAGATCTAAATCATTGCACAAGTTTTCTTTATTTCTTGTATATCATACTGAAAGTTTTACCTACTTGCCACACCTATTGTCTCAGATGCTTGACCCACACTTTAATTTCTTCCTGGAAAGATATACTTTTTTCCTCAGAAAAACTCCTTCCAAAAAATGTTCTCTATCTTGTTTATGCTATTATCTTCCCTCTAAAACAGATTCTAAACACTATCTTTTTTATTGTTTCTCATTTCTTTCTAGGACTAACTCCTATTGATTGTACCCCTGTAATGACTCCAAAATCCATTCCCTCCCTTTTCTTAGTGAAAGTCTTCTGCTTAACTACTATGCGTGTACTAACTGCTTTCTGCCTTTCACTCTGTACCCTTCTCTATGGCTGAATACTTAAATGTAGCTTGGATGATTCTGCTCTCCAATTCCCATTGTTTAAGCATAAGCCCCAAAGTCCTGCATGTGGTGATTAGATCCTGTCGCAGTTAGTTCCAACTTCAATTTTCAACCCCATTCGTTTGCTGTTATCTCATGGATTCCATTTGAACTGGTCTACTCCCATCTCCTGCACATATTTTTCTCCCTTGCCTGTACTCTTGCTCCTTCTTTCCCTATAATCACATTATTTCTACATCAAAGCACAGTTGAAATGTCACCAGCTCCATCTTTGTATCTTTTTTGAACTTCTACAGCAGTCTGGGTCATCCATTCACCCCTTCTGTAGGATTTATGGATGGTGGAGATAAATACTGTCGTAAGTACTTTACAGCCTACCTGATGCTCGTTTGGTTTATGTACATGTGTTATTTCTCTTTCTAGCCACTGGAGGGCACTAGTGAAATACATAACACTGCTAAATGAATGTGCGTACACATGTGTGCATTCACATGCATCCAAAAAATTATGTTTTACTTTATTCTCAAAAATGAACAATCTACTAAAGTTAAGGGGAAACCTAATTATTTATTAAGCTTTTAATTTCAACTTGTGTACCTTATTGTTTATAAGTCTGGTGAATTTATATGATTTTTGAAGGGGATACACAGGAGTTTTGGGTCTACTTAAAGCCCTACGTAAATGTCCTGAAATATTCTTATTTAATATGAATTTCGTTTAGCATGAATTTAATACACTCTTACATACTTTAGATTAAGTATGAATTTAATATGTTCCATTGTCTTTTAAGGAATTTTAATTTGTGTGACAAATCTTCCCAAGTACACTAAAGAATTTTTTAAAAATCTAATAATTTAAATATATAATTATAATTTAATAAATAATTATTGTATAAATAAGTATAATTTAAATGATTTAAATATAGGAAGTATACTTGCATATTCCAGAATTCTCTGTAAACCAGTAAGGTTTTTACTTACATCAGCAAGTATGAGCTTATTTAGGAAATTTACATGTTTTAAAATTGAAATGACAAGGATGAATATAATTCTATTAAATCAAATATTCTAGATGCTATAAATACTGTATTTTAAAATTCAAATACGTGCAGCTTTCTTAGCACAAAAATTTCACTACCTCCTTACTTAATTTATCAATTATTGATCGAGCACTTGCCATGTATTGTCTCTGTTCTAGCCCCTGGGATTACAGTATGGAGCAAACCAGAACATCTCCTAGCCTCATGGTATTGATACTGTAATGAGTTGGGGGAGTGAAGGGAAAAAGCACTATAAACAAGTTGATTATGCTTCATTAATATGAATTGCACTCTGTTCTATCCTTAAGACAGAATCAAATAAAGCCTACACAGACAGAGAGAAAGCCCAAGACCCTTGTGCACTGCTACAATCGTCGTTCATTTCCTCTGCAGAATTCAACAACAACCTTTACTGATACAGGCCACACATGATCATTAGAAGAGAGCTATGTGAGCTCCTTGGGGACATGGTGGTTGACTCACTGGCTAGACTCACTCACCAGATACTTAAAACTGTTCGTGTGTATTTGCCTTACAGAGTAATTCAGAATTGTGTCTCAGAGAAATATTATTATATATCAAGAACTTGTGAGAGTCACAATATTAAAATCTTGTATACTAAAGGTCTGTTCTATCACTCACTGATTCCCGGGGCTTGCTGGTTCTAGTAAAGTAATCCCTAGTCACAGAAACTTTCCATGATACTGAATTATTCCAGGCTTGTGGCTGGAGATACTGTTCATTCCTCATGTACCTATCCTTCCTTTTAGGACAGTAAAGACGAATACCAGTTCTCTTTACTCCCTGCAAAAGTGCTTCACAAGGAAGTCAGGAATAGCAGGTAAAAATGTTGGTGATCTGTGGCTGTCTCCATCTTTTCCTGCATTGCTGGTGTTATAAACAGAGGCTTAGAAGCACTACCTGCTCTCAGACCTGGGTCTGTGTCTTTGGACAGAATACTGGACTTGGCAAATGTAATTTGTTCATCAGTACATCTTGTGCTCTCCCAACCACTGTTGGTCAATTTCAGCTTTGCCCTACTCTCCCTAGTTCATTAATCACATGTACACTTCAATCATCTAAACAGGGGACTGACTCATCTACTGAGGACATAATCTTAATCCCCAGAATCTGTGTGGTGCGTTTCCAGTTGTTTTCACATCCGTGGTTAATTTGAGCTTCCCTGTAGCCCTGGGAGGTGAGGATGGCTGGTTTTTTTAATGTTCCCTGTAAAAACTGTCATCCCTTCATAGATGAATGAGAAAGGTTTTGTGGCTAGACAGATATGACTGCCACTTAGTAGCAGTGAGACCGTGGATACATTTCCTAACTTCTTTTGGTCTCAATTTTAACTTTCAAAAATGGAAAAGAAAGAAAGGAATAGCTGCCTTGAAATATTATTGTGAGAATTAAATGAGATAATGTTCATAGAGTACTTAATAAGGTTCCTGACATTGACATTCAAGGAAACTGTAGCATTTGCTCACAGAAATGTAGTCTTAGGCCAGAATTATTTCTGCTGTATAGTGTGGTTTTTCCAGAATATCAACAACAATTAGTTGGCTTTTTCACTTTTTTGGAGCATTGGTCCTGCTCCAAAGATGTGGGGCATTTTAAACTTCAATTTTAACTCTTTTTTTTTTTTTTTTTTTTTTAATTTAAGCTTTAACTTTCTCTAGTAATGCTTGGCAGCAGGGTTAATGGCTTGAAGAAAAAATGAATTTGTAGTTTCGATAAGTATTGTCAAACTATCTCACTTTGGCTTATATTTCTACTCGCCAGCAATGGAGGAGAGTGGCTGTTAATTTCACCAGTGGAGAGTATTTTCAAATTTATAGACTTTTGTCAATGTTATAAATGAGAAACTGTGTATCAGTGGAGTTATTAGACTGAAGTTGAGAACCTCTTCATGTGTTTAAATTTCCTTTATATATGTGTTTGTACAAATTTGTTTGTGTAGCCTGTTCATACCTTTGTTTATTGTTTTCTGGAATTTGTCCCTCCCCACCCCCGTACTGGGGATGGAACTCAGGAACTTGCACTTGTAAGACAGGCACAGTGGTGCCACTGAGATAAATCCCCTGCCGTTGGAGTTTGTTCTTGTTCTCATTATTTAGTAGATCATTATGTGCTTAGCAAAAAGCCCAATTGTCTGTTATATGAGTGTTAAACATTTTTCCAAACCTGTCATTCATCTTTGATGTTGCTTCTGGAGGCAGTTGGGCTATTAATTCCTGGCATGTATGTGTAGGTTTATGCTTTGCTTTATCATATATATTTTCATTATATTTATTGATTTGTCAGTATGCAAAAGTGAGTGGGACTACAGTCTCTTTTCTGGGAGCCTGAGCCTTTGGCTTTGCTGCCGGGAGGCCTTCAGAATTCTTGTTAATAACTATTGTTAGTGGCATCCTGCTCCTATGAATATTCTCATATTTACCTCCATATATATGAACACACGTGTGCGTGCACACACACATGTAATTTTTACACTAATTGCTATCACTAATTGCAGTTCTTGATTTACATATCCCCAGTAGTCTTTTCTCCTTTTCAAATTTGTTTTCGTCTATTCACTTAGACAGTTAACTTGCAGGGAGCAGAGGCCTTGCCCGAGCCATCAGTATCAGCCGGAGCACCCAGCCCAGCTCTGGGCAAGCGAGTGGATTAGTAAGAGCACTACAATTAATTAGTGGCCTACGCCCTCACAAGCCCTAGAGAAGTTTGATATGTTACCAGCTCCTTCTCAGCCCAGTCTGAAACACACCGAGGTTCCATCCCACCAGGCCATGCATATGGTGGCTCCTGTCAGAATGACAGAAGTAGACTGTCAAGCTCTCTTGCACTTCTTCTAAAGCCTCCCAGACCATATCCTTCCTGAGGGAGATGGGCAACCGACAAACTGGTAGCCACCCTCATTTGTCTTTCCTGTTCATTCGATGCTCAAAGTTTGAAAGAAAAGGAACTGAAACAACCCAGGAGTTCAAGGAGCCACTGGTTTTAATGGAGGATAAGATGGTAGGGAAGGGATTTGTCTGCGAGGTGGTGACAGTGCACCTTCTCATGGCAAGAGTTGATGTGTAGAGAGGAGAGGAGCCCTGAACTCTGTCTTCTCAGGCATGTGGCCAGAAGGGATATATTTGGAGGGGAGAAATGCGTGAACTTTGGCTTTTGCCATGGTGAAGAAGAAAGGAGACACAGAATCCAGGGAGAGACATCAACCTCTAATGTTTGCAAAGACTGAACAATACTGGACTTCTACACATTTGTACAGAGAGAGGAAACTGGAGTGGAGCTAGAAGGACAAGAAGGCTCAGCAGTGACGCAGCCTGTGAAACTGAACTGATCTTTCGAGTGCAAACCAGCTGGAGGTGACAGCCTCGGCTGCCGCCCTCACCCTCTGCCCTTGACCCATGTCCTTGATGTGCTGCTTTCCCATGGGGCCTCTGTGTCTACTTCTTTCGCCCAATCTGTGCCATCAGGTGGGCATTTGCAGCCGCCTTGGCTCGCAAGTTCTTGGCCCTGGCAATGTTGAAGAGGATGTTCATGATGTTAGTGGGAACATCCAGGGACAGTGTAAACTTGGTGCGCTGGTCACTTTTGCCCTTGTCGTGGTACAGCTTCTTCTTCTGCTGAGGTTGGGACAGGTATTTGTACCTGGTGCTTCCCGCTCTACCCCCACCCCCAGAGCCAGGAAAAGTCCTTTTGTCCTTGTCCTGCTTTTCTTCCTCTTCCTCTCTGGAAGATGAGTCTTGCTTGGGCAGGTAGTGGAAGCTCTTCTTGCTGAGAAGGGGCACATCCTCCATCTGGTTCTCCTTGACCTTGGACAGGGCTGTGTTGCGGCAGCCGAAGACAGGCCCAGCTTTGTAGAACTTATGGGAGAGGCCTGTTCTTGGGTCCCCTAGGAGCAGTAACAGGAGCAGCAGGAAGTGTGCTGGCATCAGCATCTCTCCCTGCAGCGGAGAAGAGGGAGGTGGGAAGAAGAGTGAGGGGTTGGTACGTGGGAGGACACGGAGTGGCGCCCACTTGGGTGCTGTTCGTGTTCTGCTATAGGGGTTCTCAACGTGTGGACCCAGAGCAGTTGCATCACTGTCATCTGGGAGTTTGTTGGAAATGCAAACTGTTTTCAGATTAACCCCGGAACTAAAAATCAAAATATCAGAGTCCCAGAAATCTGTGTTTTACCAAATCTTTCATTCAGATGGTTTTGATGTCTAAAGTTAGAGAATCACTACTTTTAATATGTATGGTTTTGTTTAATTCATTTTTGCAGGCAGCCACTGGCCCTGAGAGCAAATAACAAATATAGTAAGTAAGCATTTAGCAATCTGACTGGGTTTATTTTAAGGCGAGTGGAGATTTGGTTTCCTTATTATTTGCAAAGTGATTGAAAACGTCCTCATTCCTTAATGACTGTGGCTGGGACCTAGTCAGTGTTTCTGAGGCAGAGCTTTAAGGCCCTGCCAGGGGCCTTAGTTTTTTCAGAACAATCATGTTTTCTTACTTGGTTGATTTTACTAAACAGTTTAAGAAACAGTCAGCTTGGTCTCTATGGGAGACCAAATGCCATACAGAGTTTCTAAACCCTCTAGTTACAAGACTGCAACCTTAAGTACATATGTTCCTGGTTGTCAGACTGAGGGTGCTGGTTGGATGAAGCCCTATCTTGAGAGCTGTGGAGTCAGTAGGTCTGGGTTGGGGTCTGAGAACTTGCACTGCAGGTGATGCTGATTCTGATTGTCTGTGGACTCCTGGTGAAATGTTGTGTGTATTTTAAACCCTCTGTGGTCTATATGACATTTTACAGGGCTGGATTGACTGCCCTTGTGAAAAATGGGTTTACTCTTTCTTAAATTATTGCATTCAATAAGGAGAATTTTGGTTTTAACATGTACTGAGGCTTCAATAGGCTGTTTCTGCCAAAAGTCTGAGTTATGGTTAGGTGCTTTATGCCTTGAAGGCACCTTAAAGCTTGGGAGCAATTTTGAATGGCTTGATTACACTGAAAGGATTTTCAAAGACAAAAAGCCAATTCAGAAAGGGTTAATATTGATTAGAAAGGCATGGAGAAACATCCATATCTCTGTTGTTTTATTCCTTTGTCTCTTAGTTCCTTTCACAAGCCACTAAGTAGCTCCTCACTAAATGCCTGCACCTCAGTGTTGTCATCTGTGAGAGCAGAGCACTGAATTTGAGAATCTCTTTTGATTTCTTTGCTTCCTGCTCTGAAAGCAAGAAGCCTCTCTACATAAGGAATCAGGAGAAAGCAATGATTTCTTTATTTTCACCAAATGCAAGTTGCTTGGATTCTGAATGAGCATAAGTTAATAGGAGGCTTTTCAGGCACAGTCTTGGAGCTGTTCTTCTGCTTCCTACCTTGAGGAAGGACTGGACATAACAACGCTTTCTGCCCTTCTCTCTCCATCTCTGCTCAGGACGGTGTTCTGCTTTTACTCTCAACCAACTGGAATTTTACACAAGAATTGCGCATACTGCTGAGAACTCCGGGAAAGGAGGGATCTCTCTCTGCCACCTTCTGCTCCCTCATATGAGTTAACAACTGAATTTATCTTTTCAGGGCTCCTGGGGGAGCCCTTGGGACATTCTCAGGAGGGGCTGATGTGATGTGCTACATCATATCCTCAGTAAATATTTGTTAAACAAACTGAAATTTAGATTAATATTTGGAACCTTAATTAAATCAATTTCCCCCAGGCTGGACACTTTAAGTACCCTGTTTAGGTGATAGTCTCTCTGCAGATCCACATCATGACTTATCTTGGAGGAAGAATCCTTGACAAAGCACATATATTTTTATTTGAAATCATCATGTATATTTGAAATCACTTGAAGGTTTTTGATCACGGGGCAGCTTTACCTAAATAACTTCATGCAGTTTTCCCTTGGAAGGTTTCTCTTTTGTTGTGGGCTGGCCTCTGGGTAGTTCCCTAGAAATGCTGCTCATCTCCATTACACAAGCAATGAGCTGGGGGCAGGGAGTCAAGATCCTTTTAAATGTTTTTATTTACCTTTTCACAGGTTTTTTTGTCAACTTATAAGTACTATGCATTAAAAGCTGAGTTATCTTCTAATTTTTCAAATCCCATGTCTCTCAGAAAAAAGATAGTATTCATGGAAGGGATGCTGAAGGTGTCTACGTGTTTCACAAAATGTGTTTGGGAGCAAGTGTCCTACACTGCATGGGGTTCTGGTGTTTCTAAGGGGAACAGACCTTCCTCTCTTTGCAGGCTCCAGGCTCTAGTTGGGGCAGTGTTGTCAGGGTTTTGGGTGAAATCTCCTTCCCTCATCATTGATGCAAAGTTAAGAAGCAAAGATAACTATCCAAAACTATGATGTCTGCGAGATAGGAATGCTCTGTGCTGATCTTTGCTCTAGCCTGTCTAAAATATAAGCCTTCTTTGTGAGTGTGGATAACTCATTCCTCAAAGTAAGTGGCTGGGAACTAGAAGCCAGATTCAGATTTATTTCTGAGGCTTCTGTTTTCAAGATTCATTTAGATTTTATTTGAGGCTTTCAAGATAAAATGTGCTCTTTGCCTCCTAGGTGATATCCAATTCCTGAACACATTTCTCTTGGCCCTTAGTCCCTAGTGAAATAGCATGAAAGTTTAAGATTTGAACACCACCTGCCATGGAAATAACTGAGCACCATCTAGGTAGATTAAGAGGAGAAAGCTCTTATCAACACCTATGTCTTTTCTGTTCGGATGCCTGGAATTCAGCCGTTCCTTTGGGTTATTTTAGCAGGACTTTCCTAGGGCAACTTAAAGAGGTACAGTTACCTCTACCAGCTGACACAGAGTCAGCCTAAAATGTGAGGAGCTGAGGGACAGGTCAGCCTCACAGTCAGAGCTTCTTCCAGGGAGAGAAAAAAGCTAGGGGTAGAGAGGTCTGGAGGCAAATGGCACAGAGTCCAAGGCTTTCTGAGTGCAGCAAGGAGGGCAGAGCCAGCCCCCGTGGGGACTCATCTGTAAACATTGATAACAAGTGCAAATAAAAAGGGAATCACTTAAAAACAGTTTCTGAAACTGTGGCTGCAGAACCTAGGAATCCTTAGGCATTTTGGAAAAATATAATAGAAATTAGCTTGTGAGAGGGTTTTAGACTGTGGGAGGGACACAAGCATAGACCTCTAACTAAGCAACTCACACTAGAGTAAACAGTCTGTTTACACACAAGAGGCCCCTCCACTGCAGAGGGAGGAAAGCCAGGGAAAATTGCATGTTATAGACAACAGTGGTCCCAGAGGCACCTTAGCTATTCAACTTGCAAAGGTTATGTTTTGCTAGCCAGCTAGGTTTGGAAGGATAGAGCACAGTTTCCCAGGAAGCTTGAGTGCAAGGGTAGACATCCAGCGCCATGCGGAGGCTCCCTCTCCTTCATGGGCAGCACTCAGTTCGGTAGAAGTTTCCTCTCTCCGTCTCCTGCCAGTGTTCCCAGCATAGCAAGGTGAAGAGGCTCTGGGCTTGGAAACTCCCCCACATCTTTCTCGTCTTGAGTCTCTATGTGCCCTCACCTCTTTGGCTGCTGCGTCACCTGCTCCCAGGTGTGTCAGGGATGCAAGGAGATACAGCAGGTGAAGAGTTCTGGCGCGAGGCACCCAGTAATGCAGGCATCCTCACTGCTCTGCAGGGCATGTGGGATATTTCCTGTAGTGTCTGTTTTTTCCAGCCATCCTCAGCCCATCCCCAGGTCTCCAGCCCCTAGCTTCTAAACTATCACCAAGAACTGTTTTTCATGCTCTTTGCTGAGCTCTGTTCCAAACAATAGATTTATCCTTTGCAAATGGGAAGGGGACCAAGGGATTGAGGGAGGTAGGAGGAGGGAGAAGGGAGGGTAAGGGAAGTAAAAATAATTATTTATGCACTGCAAATATACTAATACAATTTTTTAAAATTTCAAAAAAACAGTGGATTTGTACAAGTACGTTCTGCGTCTGATCTATCACCTTTTGCCAAACAAGGACAAATACCAAGAAGGACAGAATCATTTTGCCCCCTAAGAACCTTCCTCCTGGTCATTTTTTTTTCTTCCCTGGCACTGGGTATTGAACTCAGGACCTAGCGCTCACTTGCAAGGCAGGCATGGTGCCCCTGAGCTACATACCCGGCGCCCTAGTCTTGCAGGGCCAGTTGCTGCTGATTTAGAACAGACCACACGGAGTTCCGCACTCCCTCCCTCGGGCTCCCACCCAGGGCGCTAGCGGCTTGCACGGCTCGCCCTTGTCTAGACCCAGCCTCCTCTGCCTCACCGGTGGTGAAGCTTCACCGTTCTTAAGTCAGTCTTCCAGCCCAGTCTTACCGGGGAGTGGTCCTCAGGCTGATGGAAATGATCCGGGCAGCGGGCGAAGCTGCGGGGCTGGGCACTCTGCCCTTAACGCATCCCTTGAAGCTCTCCCTGCCGAGGGGTGGCAGCTCCTTCTTCTCTGGTGTTGCTCCTAAGTGGGCTCTGCTACTCCCTCTCTATGGAAACTGTTCCACGTGTGTGTGTGTGTGTGTAAGTGACAGATCACAGGGTAGATCGTGGTTCCAGATGCAGTTATCTATGCTGGGATGAGATTTCATTTAAAATACCAGTGGAAACAACTGTCCACGTCACAGAGATGACAGGAACGCTGTGGTCTCCGCTGCTGCTGCCCTCCCTGCTCCTATCGCCTCCCACTTGCCCTCCTGCCCTAGCAACTTGCCACGTTAATTTAAAAATTAAAAACCCCGGTAGACTGGGAAGCAGTATCACTGAAGTTTTATTACTGATATTCTTTCTGACTAATTCAGCTGCTCCCTTACTAATCTGCCTGTTGGAAATCTGGAGCCAGGACCTGCTTGAGAGCAGGATCTCATCTGCTGTCCTGTCACTTCTGTGGGTGCTGTTTACGACGTGGTTCACTGTGCTTGTGGCAATTGTTTACAGTTTACTGATTTATAGACCCAGTATTTATTGAGCACCTACTGTGTGCCAGGTATCCCTGGACCCTCAGTCATTCAAGGATAAGTAAGTTGGGAATTGTCCATAAGGGGCACTCAGGGTTTAGATGCAGTGGTGAAAATAGTTTCCATGTGGTAAATGCCCTAGTTCAGAGAGGAGCCACACCTGAAGGCAGGTCTGTGCTCCAGGAAAAGAGAGCAGAGGGATGCACATAGGAAGGGCCTGTGAGGAGGCCAGAAGTGGCCAGCTAGGGTCTGGTCCACACTGAGAAGCGCACTGTAAGGCAGTCTAAGGAGCACATTGTACACCCTTCACGGAAGTTGTGGAGGACTGCAGCCAGGTGACAGACAGGCTGTCGGAAAAGTGACATACCAGGACCACACAGGCGCTGGGTGACAGAGTTGGGGTGAGAACCACTGGTTCTCCTCTGAGCCCAGTGCTCTTTCCCACTTCCGGCTGGAACCCTGGGATGAGAGAATTATGAGGGGCCAGGAGACTGGTGTGCTGCTCCCATCCAGCAAGACCACAGCCCACATCCCAGGTGGCTGCCCTCTCTTGACACTCTTCTAGATGAAGCACTAAGTGGACTTCTGAGATTATCGAAATCCTTAATGCCCACAAGTGTTTTGGGTAACAAAGAAAGTGACTGTGGAGAATAGCTCCAAAATATCCCTTACCTTCCAGTCATAAACCTCCTTATGGGGATGTGAAATCAGAAGAATTTCTGGTCCTTTTTGGAGAGTTGCCTGGACTAGGATCTCTAGAAATGGAAGTCACATGAAACTAGATTTGTATTTTAATCTTCATTCATTCATTCATATGTATTAGCCTGGGAGAAGGTTTGTGTTTTGTTTTTATTTTCTTTCATTTTAGATAATTAGGCAGTAATTGAGTTCATAAGTATTGAGAGTAGAGAGTTGGAAATGTTAATTTAACTCCTTCCTCAGCCTTTATGAGGTCTGGAATGCCAAGGAGGGAGTCTTGTGGGGATGATAATTAACACTGGTGCTGCAGAACAGGGTTTTTTTTGTTTTTGTTTTTTTGTTTGTTTTGTTTTGTTTTTTGAGACAGGGTCTCACTATGTAGTTGAGACTGAACTGGAACTCACTATGTAGCCCAGGCTGGTTTGGAACTCACAGCAATCTTCTTGCCTCAGCCTCCCGAGTTCTGGGGTTACAGGCATGTGCCACCACGCCTGGCTGAACAGGGTTTTTAATATTGGCACTACTGACATTTGGGTCACATAATTCCTGTTGTAGGGGTGTTGTGAGCATAAAAAGGGTGCTTAGCAGCATCCTTGACCTCTTCCCATTCAATGCCAGTAACCACCTTGGCCCTACTTCATGACAACTAAAAATATTCTTATACACGCCTCCCAGGGGCAGAATTGCTCCTAGTTTAGAGCCATCACTCTAGAGAATGAGATAAAAGAGAGAGAATTAACCATGACCTTTTTCCCGTGGATATTTCCTATTCTGGACTTTCCAGAAACCCTCCTCTCCTAGACCGAACCTGCACTAGGATTGAGGTATCTGTGTGGGTCTGGCTGTATTTGAAGCCATGGTCTTCTTGTCACACAGAAAAGGCTCAATGGTTTCTACTGGGAGTTGGATTTGGGATTAGCCAATGACTTCTGATATCCTACACAGATGATGCCTTACAGACCTCGGTAGCCACGAGGTGCAGCCCTCAGGGTGCCCTCTTAGAGAGGAAAACCTCACTACGTAGTACATTTAGGGTTTGAAAACTGCTTCTGCATTCACCCGATGGTGGACAGTTTTGGAAAGCACAAGGATGAGATCAGTGAGTAAACCCTTCAGGAATCATTTCCAGCAAATGAAGATTTCCCTCTCGACCCATTGCTGAAGTCTTAGCCCTGCATGTTGCTATGCTTGCCCTTCTGTCTGGCCTGGGTGAGTTACTGATATCTTTTTGAATTCAGTAACGTTTAGAATGTTGTTCAGGGATTTAAATATTCTGCAAATAGTATGTGGAGAATCAGAGTGAGAAGAAAAAGCTAATTAGCTTCATATGTGAATAAAAATTACTTACATTTATAAAACTCCTGTCTCCAAAGTGCTCAAAGCACTTGCGTATAATAACATGACCATTTCTCCAACATCTGAACTTGGCAATAAAAGAAAAAGCAAAAAGACATTAGAGAACTGTAAGAAAGCTTGACTTATGAAGCAGTGGTTTTGTTGGAGTCTGGAGAGCTGATTTCCATTACTACCTCTTTCGCTAGTTGACTGTTGATTTTGCCTATCACTCAAATTCTCGGGCCTTCTGTTTCTTGTTTTATAAAGTGTAGGTTGATGTACTTTCCCTTGTTTTCTAACAAGGTTGATGCCAAGACGAAAAATTGAAAAGATTTTACAGGAGTGCAGAATATTATGGTCACCCTTATTGTTCAGTTCTCTCTTATTTGCCCTGACTGATGTGTGCTTTACTTCACTTTTTACTCTTAAGATGGGTGCATGTTAATCTTCCTTTGTGTTTGTTGATTGCTGATTTTTTTCTTACCAGTCTGTCCATTGTTGCTTTACATATATGGAATGTTTGGTATATAAAATGATTCCTTTTATAATTTTGCTGTAAAGCTCTTTACCTTAAATAATATTTTTTCTGTCTCAAAGACTACATTGCCTTGAAGTTTGTTTGATCTGATATTAATATAGCACTTCAGTGTTTTTATGTTCACTGGATGTGCATATTTTTAAATCTACTTACTTTCAGGCTATCTGTGCTTCTGCAGTGGTTAAGCTAACTGTGTTTACTTGGGAGCTACTGAGTAGATTAGCAAAGCAGACTTCTGAGTGTCTGGCTGGCCAGTGGAGTCCAATGTCTGGTCCATAGGCCCCCGGTCTCTTTCCTGTTCCCTGTGCTGCTTCCCAGCTACGCCCTTCTGCCGTGATGTTTCTGTCTTGGAGCCGGCTAACCATTGATTGAATTCCCTGAAACTGTGAGCCAAATTGAACCTTATGTTCTTTAAGTTGTGGGTGCTGAGTGTTGTGTACCAGGATGGGCAAGCTGACACACACACACACACACACACACACACACGTACCATTACATGTACATGCACACGTGTGTATGTGTCTGTGTGTATGTGTTTGTATATTTGGTACCAGTGCTCAAACTCGGGACCTTGTGCTTTCGAGGCAGGTGGCAAAACCACTGAGCCCAATCCCTGGTCCCTATATATTTTTATTGGTACATATTTGCAGAACACAATGTTTACATTCCTTGTGTGGAGTTGGTACTCTTTTCCCTCTCCGCTCTCCTTTCCTCCATCTCAACCCTTTTCCATTTGAGAAAGGTCTATCTCTCTATATAAACTAGTACAACCGATATGTAAATCAGCATGGAGATTCCTCATATAACTAAAACTAGAAATACCATCTGACCCTTGACAGCTATTCTCCTTGTAAGTAACTTCCTAAAGACTTAGACATCATAGCTCACTGATGCATGCACACTCATGTTTATAGCAGCACAATGCACAATAGCTAAATCTTGGAAATGGTCTGTATGTACCCATCAACAATTGAATGGATAAAGAAAATGTGATAACAGGGAAATGCACAAAGAAAGATAAAAAATATCATAAAGAAAGATAAACTTCAGTTATTTGAAAGAAAATATGTGCACCTTGAGACCTTAATGTTAGGTGAAATAAATCAGGTACACAAGTTTAAATATCACATAGTTTCTCTTATATGAGAAACCCATATTACACCTTTACGCTTAAACCATATTTCTTTTGGACAACATATAATTGGTTTTTGCTTTAAAAAAAAATACTGGTCTGATGATCTCTGCTTTTCAATGGGAGGTTTAACCGATTAACAATATTTATTATAATTACAGGTATAGATAAGCTAGGTTTACTACTTTATTTCTTTTTGTTTTTTTTGTTTTTTGTTTTTTGTTTTTTTTTTTAAGACAGGGTCTCACTGTGTAGTTGAGACTGACCTGGAACTCACTATGTAGCTCAGGCTAGTCTCGAAATCACAGCGATCCTCCTGCCTCAGCCTCCCGAGTGCTGGGATTGCAGGTGTGCACCATGCCTGGCTCTCTTTTTCTGTGTGTTTTTATTTTTTCATCCCTTTTCCTGCTTTCTTTTTGGTTATTTAAATCTTAAAATTTAATTTTAATTGTACTTTTGCCTTTTTAGCTACACTTCTTTATATTATTTTTTTCAGTTTGGCCCAGGGATTATCTGGTGTATATTTAACTTTATACAGTTTACTGAGAATTACTTTTGTGCCACATCACACAAAATACAAAAATCCTGGAACTGAACAGACCTACCTCCTTTGTGGTATGTAACATATCCACATTCATTAAAAACTCTTCAGGATAATACATTTTGTTTTACAGAATCATATGTGTTTATAAGGAATTAAAAGAAAACTATTTTTATATTCATCCATATTTTTTACCATTTCTCATCATTTTTTTTAAATCTCCAAAGCTTTCAACTTCACTTTAGTATGACTTTTCTCTCAGCTTGAACAATTTTTTGTAGCATTTCTTGTGGAGTGGATGGTATATTATCTTATTTTTCCTTAATTTGAAAATGTCTTTATTTTCTCTTTACTTTTGAGAGACAATTTTTCTTGATGTGGAATTCTGGCTTGGTGGATACTTTTTTCTTTTATTGTGGCAAAGATGTTCCACTACCTT